GGGATTGCAGGAAGTTGATGAGTAACAGGAACATGCTGGATGTGTGTAAAATACATTTACACATTTTTAGAGGAGTGTCATACTGCATTAAATTGTGATTTCTATATCTGTCTGGAGTTCATTAATTTTAAATAAACTATAGTGATTACGGATTAATTTGATTTTATTGTCTTTTTAAAGTTTTTTTTTACTTTTAAAATGACTTTTTATCTGTATACTGTATATATTTATATGTATGTAACAATCTTTGTTTAGCAACAAATGATTTCCAGAGTATTGTGTTAGTTAAAGGGAAAGCACTGCAGCTTGCTTACCTGTTGTCTTTAATGTTAAAACTTTAGAGCAATCTGAAAAGAGAGAAGTCGCTGTGATAAGTCACTTAGCTATAGGTGTTACGTAAAGCTTGAGCTACAGAATTCTGTTAACAACACATCATTTACAACAAATACTAAGCAGTCTCTGGACAATATATGAAAACATAATACAAAATAATATTAACTGCCAGTATTTTGTATTAACAACATGTGACAAAAATAAATGTATTTTTGATTCCCAGCCATAAAAAGTAGTGAATGAAAACGTGTATAATATGTCCCTTTTATACAAAATACTATTTAACACAGGACATGGCTGTGAGGCCTATATATATACAGGGTTATTCACAAAAGGGTGAGGAGTTTGGAGAAGTGAACAATCTAGGACAACATAGCTGAACTACAAAGTGAGCTGAATTGGAGAATTTTTCCAGTTCAGCTATGTTGTCCTAGATTGTTCCCTTCTCTTCCCTTCTCCAAACTCTTCACCCTTCTGTGAATAACCCCGATAATCTTTTATCTTTACCTTTATGCCTCTGATTTTCCTTTTCTAAATGTCAGCAAATGAGATGTGTTATCTGGTATTATTGGATTGATTTATTTTATTTGCAGTGTTTTATTTAACAATAATATCTCTATTTAGTTTCTAATAAAAAAAATAGAAGAAATTGATTTTATTTCACTTTTTTATTCCAAAATTTGTGTCTCTTTGCATCACTAATTTGTACTAATTTTTTTAGGTGAAGATAAGGAACACAAAAAGCCAGAAGGAGTGAAGAAATATAAACCTCCCAAGCACAGCCGGACTGGTAATGTCAATAATCGTGGGCTACCATACACAACTTTGGCCAGTGGATTACAGTTAGACATGTGCGATTCCTTTCGGAAAGATTTGTTATTCGGACAAATTTTTTCGTTATATCCAAATCTTCGAATGAAAAAGAATCCGAATTTCCGATGATGATAATTTTGGACGAAATTTATTAGCGGTAGTATGTATGAACTTTCATTGCGGCAAAGTGACATTAGACAAAAGGGAAAAAAATGACTTTTTTTTTTTTTTTTTTACAGTCCACAGAAAAAATAAAAATAAAAGCGTGAGGTTCCCCTCCCGATTCATACCAGGCCCTTTAGGTCCAAATCCCAAAACTAATTGACTTTCGGACCCGAATCCTGCAAAACGTAATAACGAAAAATCCAAATGAAACAATTTTTTTGCCGGTGCACATGTCTAATTACAGTTCCTGCACCAGTAGCTGGACAATTATAAAAATATAAATAATATATATAGAGGGAATTATATGTTTGTTTGCTATTAATAAGCAATAGGTGTGTGATTTTCAAGTTTAAATTTGTAAGTAGCAGGAAGAAGCATTCACTATGCTGCTTTGAGAAATACAAATAGCTTTTTTTCAGCCTATAGAGTTTTATTTTGTTCATTTATGTTCAGTACTTAAAAACATGAAATATTGCATATTCGCTAATTGCAGCCACCAGGTGGCGCTGTAAGCCCCCTCTCCCCTGTACTTATAAAATCTACCAGAACACATAAAGGCAGTGCTGGGCTTTTTAGAACACTAAGCACGCTTTGCAAGCACAGTGTCATGCGGATACCCTGTAATAAATGTGTATTTTATTTCAATTAAGATTTTATACAAATACTCAAAGCTGAAATAAAATGCATGACTTTATCAATTTGTAAACTTAAAGATCGACCAAAACCATCATAGCTTCAGTCGAGATCAGGGGTAGCCAAACTCCGGCCCTCCAGCTGTGGTGAAACTACAAATCCCATGATGCATCTCTCTCTGGGAGTCATGTCTGTGAGAATCTTGCAATGCCTCATGGGATTTGTAGTTCCACCACAGCTGGAGGGCCGGAGTTTGGCTACCCCTGCTCTAGATTGTCCAGAGCCTATTCTCAAGACTCCAGGAAGATAATAAGAGTGATATAACAGAAATGTCATTTTCTATGAGATATCTGCTAAGGGTTAAAGGGGAACTATGGGGTCAGGGCTTTTCCCCATAGTTCTCCTTAGGGTAACCGGAGGACACAAACTAGCATCCTCCCGTTACCCTAAGCTCAGTAACGCGGTATACTGAGACGCCGGAGCGGATCCCGACATCGATGTCGAGATCCGCCCAGCTGCGTGAGTGACAGCTGGCTCTGCCTATCTAGAGGCAGAGCCAGCTGTACTCGCCCCCTCCCCCGTCCGTTCCACCAGTCAGCGCTGGCGGATCGGAGCGGGGAGGGGGGAATCCAGCCCCTCCCCTGTCACGGCAGAGAGCTGTGACAGGATCGAGAGGTGAGCGAACGCCGGTATATGTTCGCTCACCTCCCGATCTACTGAGCCAACCTGTGACAGTCTCAGTGTCACCGGTCGGCTAGAACTATGAGGTGAGTGAGAAGCACTCACCTCATAGTTCTCCTTTAATACTTTTAATGGGATACAGATACTGCAAGTTTCCTCATTAGAACACAGAAAATGCACCAGGCGGCCCTCCTATTCAGGGATCAGTATGGAAAGGAAATTGGGAAACAAAAAGCTTTTTTTTTTTCAAAACAGGAAAAGGTAGAAAACTGCAACATTGCAAGTGTGTTAAAATCCTTGCACTGTACACTGATCACCCAGAGGGGATTGTTCTTTCTCTACACAAGTGGAGTCACACTTTAAAGTCTTATAATTCATGGATCTCTATGACAAGGTTATTCTTTTTAGATCCTGTTGGCAGCCATGTTTAAACTCTTCTAATGCTGATCTCAAATATGACAGTCGGAATTATATTGGTTGCAATGGGCCACGCAGTCATTTTGCTCCCCGGGTGCTGCGATGAATGAGGCCCAGCACTGAGTGACCAATGTTTTCTCTGTATTCCAGGTATGCACAGTTCTCACTTGTGGGAATTCCTCCGTGACCTTCTCCTGTCACCTGAGGACAATAATGGCACCTTGGACTGGGAGGACCAGGAGAAGGGCATCTTCCGGGTGGTGAAGTCTGAAGGTCTGGCACAGCTGTGGGGTCAGAGGAAGCGCAACAACAGGATGAATTATGAAAAGCTCAGCCGGGCTTTGAGGTGAGCATCAGCTCTATGGTGCAGCATGGTGAGAGAAGTCAGAGGGGGTTCTACCCTAAACCAAACTTCCCATTTTGTCTGATGGACTTGACCTTTCCAGCAAGTGCACTTATGGTGTCTTGGGGGTCTAGTGTTAAAGCCCGTCCAAAGCTAAACTTATCCTGGTGACCACTGTCACTGAGAAAGGGATGAAGAAATCCAAAATGTTTGCATTGTCACTGGGACAGGAGGTGAGGAGAAATCTGCTAATGGGGACACCTGTTCTGGTGACAACTGCATAAGAGAATATTTGATCCTTTCTTTTGGAGAGATTTCCATTCACTTCCTTTGGTGGGACAGAAATTTAGGGGAAATATCCCCAACCAGAACCAGCCAGGGATAAAAACACAACGGATGTTGCACCAAATAGCTTTGCAAACCCAGATGTTAAAATTGAACTCTAAATAATAACTAAAGGCTAAATACATAAGTAGGAGTAATTGCCTGACAATTACTTGGGTGCTGCAAGTATGCCCCCTACAGGCCTGAGAAAGAAGTGCTGGTGACCACTGATACACCTTTATTGTATTCACAGGCACTACTACAAGACCGGCATCCTGGAGCGGGTGGACAGGCGGCTGGTATACAAGTTTGGCAAGAAAGCCTATGGTTGGCACTGACCTGACATGGAGTGCTCTGAACAATGGCCGCTGTGGCACAAACATGTAGATTCCATGAATCGAATTCCTACTCTTCACAGGCAGAAGGGTGGACTTAGTCATTCCACCAGTATTATAACGACTTTCAAGCTCAAGCTTTTCAAGCTCAGTAGAACAGGGGGATGGTGGGAATAATTTGTAGTTTTGCAGACCTTGTTCTCCCCCAAGGACTCAAAGCGGTGGACAGAACAATACTAACACAGTACTATAAAAGGCTTGGGTTTAAAAAAAGGGGGGAGTGGTTTCTTCAATGTTGTTGTCACAATGTTGGAGTCCAAAGAAGATCTGGACAAGACATGAGTTCAGTCTAAAGATTCCTGAATGTTAATGTAGAGTTAGAATGGCAATTTTGTAAGGGGCAGCACTCCCATCCACATATCATGATGTTGACAGTAACTAACACAGCTCAGTATTACAGGTTCCAAGAGGTATTAAGAAGATACTGTGTCCCACAGTTCCAAGAGACATTAAGAAGATAATGAACCCCATAATTCCAAGAGATATTGAGAAGATAAGGAGCTCCACAGTTCCAAGAGGTATTAAGAAGATAAGTAGCCCCACAATTCTAAGAGATATTGAGAAGATAAGTAGCCCCACAGTTCCAAGAGGTATTAAGAAGATAAGTAGCCCCACAATTCCAAGAGATATTGAGAAGATAAGTAGCCCCACAGTTCCAAGAGGTATTAAGAAGATAAGTAGCCCCACAATTCTAAGAGATATTGAGAAGATAAGTAGCCCCACAGTTCCAAGAGGTATTAAGAAGATAAGGAGCCCCACAGCAAAAGAATCCAAGATACATTTATAATTTCTTATAAAAGGGAATACACAAGGCAACACATTTTGGTGGGTCCATCGTCAAGGTTCAATCTGCCTGCTTTATGTATGTATACTGGGCTCGAGGTAAAAGTAGATAAGATCCTCTGGAAGTTGGAATGTTTTGTACTTTAGAAGCATCTTATCTACTTTTACTTTGAGTCCATACTTGCATAAAATGAATACACTGAGCCCTGATGAAGGGGGACACTTGGATCGCTCACAGACCATTAGCTTGTCTCTTCTGTTTCATGTGGGGCTCCTTATCTTTCAGTGTGGGGCTCCTTATCTCCTTGGTCTACACCTGAGGCCCTTCATAGGAGCCATCTAACTGGAGGCACTTGACTTCTTTCAAGACTTCTATAACACACCATAGTTTGAAATTTGGTATCCAGTGCCCTTCATATATGTTTCCTATTTTGGTTTGTCTGGCAGGTGAATATAGCCAGTTCTCAATATTGTCCCTGTTCATTTTTTGGTATGCTGTATTCCTACATCTCCCCACTCTGGGTCCACACACCTATGGCCGAACTACCAGCAGAGTAAGGTGACAGCTTGCTTACTCTCCCAGCAATCAAATAGGTGTGCTGACACAGATTCGGAATTATAAATCCAGCCCTGGATCTGTATATTGGTAGATCTCGGTGAGTGACTTCAAAAGAACAAAAGCCAAATAAAACCAGGCCGCTGGCATTTTCCTAAGAAGGATAGCAACGGCAGCCTACTTAATTGTTCCAATAAGGTTTCCTTTTGCTGCCTTTGCTTACCAACTGAACCATTGATAAAGCAAACTACACAAGTGAGAAGTCTAGTTCCAAGGCACTGAGGTTGAATCTATTATGGTTTGTTGCAAGTGATGCCACTGCCCAGTAACATGTTTGCAGCTTATAATCAGAGGATGGCAGCTTCCTTTAATGCTTCTCGCACAGGTGTCTTGCTTATTGCCAAACACCCTGTAATGGGGATATAAGCAGAACCCACACTGACCAATCATGAATCAGCTTTTTCAGGTCAGACTTGATGGCTCTGGGTTGGTATTGGCCATCGCTGCTTTTTGCACTGCCCTATGAAATCTCTTCTTTTCTGTAATGTGATTTGTGTTATTTAAACCCAGTGTGCGTGTTCTGTGGCTCTTTACAAAGGTAAGAAATCAAAGTTTAATTTTCAGTCACCAGCAAAACACTGAGCAACAGAAAGTCCTAGATTGGTTCATTTAATATCTGTTTGTTATCGGTATGCTTAATGAATTCTTTAAAAAGATCCAGTCACAGCTGAGAGCAAGAAACTGAATATTCAGTCTTAATTTATTGTAAGTTTGCAGACTCATCTAGAAAAGATTTATATTCGACCTTTATTTAAAGCTCAACTCCGGGCGCAAAACTTTAATTGAAATATATTACTCAATAGCCACAGATCATATAAAGCCATTTATTTATTGTACCAAACTCAGATATTACCTTGTTAATGAAGTGATGACATCATTACTGTGTTGGTACTAGTCTGTGCAGGGAGCAGAGCTGTGGAAGGATCCAGCAGGCCCCACCTACTACAGACTGCCTGCAGAAAACTACAGGAGGGGACGGAGACAAGACCAGTCACCCTGCACAAGGGTGACAGCAGTGAGCGGTCTTTATTACAGGAGGCGGCTAGGGTTGCCACCTGTCCGGGATTCACCCGGACAGACCGGGTTTTGAATGCTGTGTCCGGGTTTCATGGGAGCTGAAATCCAGACAAAAGAGGTCAGGCAGACAGGGGCAACCAAAATTAACATAGGGGCTATTGGCCCCCCACTGAAAATAGTCTCTACTGTGATATTTACATGTGAATACGCCACAACTCATTCTCCAAAATGTTGTGCGTCGCTAGTGTTTAGGTTTCGCTGGAAGAAGAGGTGGCAACCCTAGAGGCAACCATAGAGGGGGCAGAGACAAGACCAGTCACCCTGCACAAAGAGAGAGAGCAGCAGTGATCGGTCTTTACTACAGGAGGGGGCGGAGACAAGACCAGTCACCCTGCACAAGCAAAGAGAGAGCAGCAGTGAGCGGTCTTTATTACAAGAGGGGGCAGAGACAAGACCAGTCACCTTGCACAAGGAGAGAGAGCAGCAGTGACCGGTCTTTATTACAGGAGGGGGCGGAGACAAGACCAGTCACCCTGCACAAAGAGAGAGCAGCAGTGACCGGTCTTTATTACAGGAAGCTCCAAGTCTCACAGCGGATCACTTCCAGATCTGGAAGAAATACACAAAGCTCACCAAGATTCAAAAAAGAATGAACATGGCTCTTGTATTTAGACAATATTTGCTGATCCTAGAGGCGGAGGAGGTCTGACAGCTGCTGCCCTGTCATTTGCCAGAACTCCATCTGATAGCACAGGCTGTCTTCCAGCTCATAGGTTACTATAACCATATCAAACACAGAACCCTGTAAATGTTTACATTCCCCTTAACTCCTGGGCTCTGCTATATGCTACTGTTAGGCACACTCAGGAGACGGCATGTGTTGTCAGCATGAGGTCAGGTAGTGGCAACTCTCAGACTTTGAGTGACCCCTCACCTCTGACTCATGGGGCCTAGAACCATCAACAGGCAGAGTATGCTAGGCTTATGAATCTTTCATAGATAACGTGTGCATTTAAGGCTGAATATTGATATTGTATGACTGGGTCTCGTTATAGAATTGTGTACACACAGTGCATTTTACATCCTTCAAACATGGGGACTAAAGCCAAACACAGATGTTCACTATCCCTAAGAAACTTGAAAGTAAAATGCAGGTTCTTTACAATATATTGATACTGGGGGGAATTTATCAAACCTGGAGCAGACAAAATCTGGAGCAGCTAAGCATGGCAACCAATCAGCTTCTCTTTCATTTTCCAATCTCAACTGAGCAAACTGCAGGGAGATGCTGATTGGTTGCCATTGGTAACTGCTCCAGATTCTCTCTGCTCCAGTTGTGATAAATCCCCCCCGCTGTATATAACTGCCGTACAAGTCATTTTATAATTTAATGTTAATAAAAGTTATTATATTTCAGCCTTTTCTATAGTCATTTGTCTTTTTATTGTAATCAAGATTGTTTGAACAGTATTTGTAGATAATTGTTTTCCTCAGAGGTCAGTTTTAACTTTTTTTTTCCAATAAAAGTTTTATTGAGTTTAACAGTGCAAGTACACACAGATATGTTATAATGCCAACTGATGCCTGTGGTTAGCAGGACATCCATATACAACTGGAGAGATAAAACATAAAACGTATCACAGTTATGGAAAGGCACAGGATTGGTTCATAGGGAGTAGCATCCAAACCCATCTCAGCTGTTATCGTGTAAATTCGGTCATATCCTAGGCGGTAAAGGGCTGTGGAGGGGATTATCTGATATGATTCGCTGCTTAGTCTGCAGGGGGTTTGTAACCCGTGTAGAGGCGGGATGTAGGTGAGTCGAAGTATTTATCAATCCACGGAGACCAAATTGCCTCAAATTTGTGCATAGTGTTCTCGAATTGTGCTGTGCGTTTTTCTTGGGCCATAATCCAGTGGACATGTGTAATTACATGTGATACGTTAAGGGACGTCCAAAGCCAGTTTATTACAGAGGACAGGATGTGGAGAGAGAGTCTGAAGGCTTTTTTGGGGAGACCTGTCGGTTTGCAATTGAGTAATGCAAAAGTCGGGTCTTTAGTCAACGACTCCGAGACCAGCAGTTTTAACTAATTAGTTACATGAAGTCTGACTCTTCAGCTAGAAAGTCAGGGTTCAGAGGTCATCTGAAGATTGAGAACTACTGCCCTGTCAATTGCCTGACCTCTGCACAGTGGGCCATACAAACTGGATACATCTGAAAAGTGTTCACAATGTCCAGCCAATCAAATTCTCTCATTGATGTTTCTATGCCAATTTCAAAAATGAAAGGAAGAATTTGATGGGCTTCCAGAGGCAACGCAAACATTTAAGTTTCAATAGAATTGTATACATAATCCCTAATATATTTATCAAAAAATTTATTGTTCAACCATTCATTGCCATAGAATGAACCACTGTAGCTGAATGTTATATAAATCTGTTTGTGCTTTTAATTCATATCACCAATCCCGTATAAGTCACGTGCTCAGATACAGACGTAAACAGCATTTTGACTATACTGTATATAAAATGAGAATATACAGAAAGCCAAATAAGCCACTAGATTGAAAGCTCTCACGACCAGGGCCCTCCTAGCCCTATTGGGCTGAAACTGTATTATAACTGTGCTGTCTTTCTCCATTTTGCAAAGCGCTGCGCAAACTGACGGCGCTATATAAATCCTGTATAATAATAGTAATAATAATTACATTTTCAGACAATTCTTATTTATCCACAAATGGCACCACTTGAATGTGTGGCAATCCTGACGATGTTACCTGTGCTGCAATCTACTGCATCTATTTGAACTATCAGGTCATTTTAGAGAACCATAAGCCCTTGTAGCTTAAAGTGACATTAAAGTCAAAGATATTTTTCCCTCCCCCCAATGTTAATGTCAGCACTTACCTTAAATGATGTCTCTTAATCCGATCTTCTTTCCTGTCGTTTTCATCTGTCCCTCCGGCGGTGCGGCGGTTCTCCGATCCAGCGCTGACTCCTCTCTGCTTGCTGGCACTTCCTGTCCCACGGTGTCTGCATGCGGGTGCACGCCGTCCATAGACTTACCTTGTGTCTCTCCTCGTCTCACGGCCGAAAATATGAACTGCGCATGCGCCCGGCCGCCCCAAGATGCTTTGCGACCGCCCGAGAATTTTCACATTTTCGGACGGGAGCGCGCAGGGAAGACACAGGTAAGTTTAGACCGCTTTTTTTTTTTTTTACACTTTTTGCATATATCTACTGCTTGCTAGCCATAGATATATGCAAAAACACCGGAGGGTTTAATAACCCTTTAAGGGACCCCCAAGCCTCCACTTTATTGGGCAGGTTCTCTTAAAAAATGTTGCATCGGCTGTTAAAATTGTTAGACCCGTTTTGTCAGTGCAGACAATTATATACTTTAAAGTGGAGCTTTACCCATATCTTAAAAATAACAACAAAGACACCTTTAGAAATGTTTAGTAATGACAATCTACAATCACAAAAACTTTGTATTCTTTGCACATCTTATTTCTCTTTTCTTCCCCAGTCTTCTCACCGTGGTCATGTTTACTAAGGGCAGATTACTAGCTCTTCCTTTACTTCCTGAAAATTGGCACATGTGACTAGGACATGTGATCATGCACATCATCTCAGGGGAGTAAAATTACTTCCCTGAGATGAGATTTACCAGCAATGCTCTGCTGATGTAACCTTCCCAGGATGCATTGCTTTGGCAAACTGAAGTCATTTTGCACTTTCATTGCGAGTGTAAGTATTTCATAATCACAGCATTTTACACCTGACATGTCTATGTCATTATTAAGCATCATGCATAGAGGGAGGCATTGGTAGAATTTGATTTTTGAGTGTAAAGGTCCGCTTTCAATATCAAATTTGAGATTGGTGGCTTTGTAATGTACACAATATGCAGAAGAAAAAAAGATTGCATTTTATTTCTGATTAACAACAACAAACAATCAAACAGATAATAAATGACAGCAATACATCTTTAAACTGGCCATAGACTTTCAGATTGAGTCAGCTGATCCAAGTCAGGCTTGACTGTAGGCATTTATGAATCTGGCTGTTCAGCACCCCTGCTAAACATCATATGGTTGGCGGGGGCATTATGATTACATATATGAGCAGATGCAGTCATCAGGTCAACGTGTTTTCCATCTCACATGAAAAATGTCAGAGTGGATACCAATCAGGTAGTAAAAACACTGAACAATTACTGACAAAGTCTAAACTTCCCTTGTCTGTTATTAGTCCCATCTTGGACATCTTCAAAGGCCCAACTGCACAACAAGATATTTTTAAATAGTGTGGGGAAGCTGTGGAACCCATGTGAGGTTTAAAAAACCGAGTCCCCATTTGGGAGATTTCCTGTCACTTCCTGCTGTGTCTGACACTCACCAACTGGACAGGAATTAAGGCCAAATCCCACTCATGGGCATACAGACAACAATAAAATCCTCATGTAAAAGTCTAACGAAAGCTCCAGACCAAAAGTCAAAGAAGTTCAATTATTTTAGTATTCTTGTTTGCTCATATAAAGAGGATAAAGAAAATCCAACATGTTTTGGGGGGGTTCAGGCACTCCCCCTGCATCAGGGATTATGAATGCTGTCACTGGACTCAATAGGGTGCTTTTAGTATTTGTATGTGTATAATAAAGAGGAGTATTGCTAGTATGTGACCTGCTGATAATGCAAATACTGTTCTTTATTATATGCATACAAGTACTAAAAGCACCCCATTGAGTTCAGTTACATAATTTATAAGCCCTGGGGAAGGAGGGGTGTATGACCCCTGAAACACATTGGCTGTTCCATATTGTCTTGCTATGACCAAACACTAATATTAAAACATTTTGGATTCTTAGATCTTTGGTCTGGTGTTCTCATGAGACTTAGGATCCCCTAAATAAGGGGCAACTTTATTTTCTTGAGAGCAGCCACACGGAAGCTACAGCACCCCATATGGTCTCAAATTACTTCCTTCAACTATGAACTACAGATAAGCTGAATCCAGCAACTCCAATGTGCATGTTCTGAACTAGAATTTTCCTAGACAAGAAGAAGACCCAACTGGGACACAAACAGCCCTAAAGACCTGACAGAGGTTCTAAACCTTCTCCACGCTATCCAAAACTGAAAACAACAATTAGCTGGTGGTTGGTTTATGGATCCAATGGATGCGTTTTGGGCCAGAGCTCCAGAGCCAGAAAATCTTATTTTATATCTGCTGAAAAAAAAACATTTGACTTCGTTATGAAACTGTAGAAACATTGAGACTTCAGTAAGACAATGAGAACGTATCCCTTCCTTCCTCCGCCTGTATAGGTGTCCTGTCCCCTACTGTGTCTTGGGGGACACATGACGAGTGTAATTATGAAGGGGTTCCTACAACAAAAGGAAAAAAAATACATTATTATGATCTAAACATTGGTGGTTTGCTACTCTCAGTCACTACAGGTACTCCACAGTTCTGGGTGTTTAAATACCTGCTCCTCCCATGGTACGCTCGGCCAGTTTTAGCTGTGATTTACTGACCACTGTATGTAGCACTTACAAAATCAATAAGAGAATTTAAAGTATATATTGATAATCCGTATTTTTATGTGTAGATACCGATCACTAGTGCACCCTGGAGTCCTGCAGTATGCGGTTTTCAACTTTACTAGATAGTTCTCAGTCGGGAAGGTCCCAGGACTTCCCACAATGCCTCAACACTCAGGGCACATTGCATTTATGGATGTGCTGGGAGCTTGAGCTGGCTCAGCTCCTCTTCCCCTCACCTCCCTACATACCCTTCTGTGTAGTAGTAGTAGGGGAAAGATCAAAGGGGAATACTATAAGGTGTTGGTTGAGTCAGGGGCGTCCCAAGGCCGGGTGTCACCCGGAGCGGATACTTGGTGACACCCTGCCGTGACGTCATGGTGCATGCGTGTGACGTCAGCGCAATGATACCTGCCGGCGGCCATCTTGGTGATGGACGCCGGCAGAGAGAGGAGACTTTCACCCAGCAGGATAAGGTATGCCGCCGGGTCCCCTCCTCTCTGTCGGGCTTCCAGTCCATGACCGAATGTCTGACTTTTCAGAGGGGGCGACACCAAAACGACTCCTCCATTGGTGTCACCCAAGTGCGGGACGCACCCCCTTGTGATGCCACTGACTCGAGTGACATCTTTGAGTCTGCTGACAATAAATACAAGATGGTGGCCACCAGCAGTAGCCTCTGGGCTATTAGATATCTCCACCAGGTGAATAACATGCATAAAATAAGTTAATTCACATGTAATCTTATGGGAAGAGTTTTAGTCAAGTGAATGGTCTGGTCACAGGGTCTCTTTAAAGTCAATGCCATCCAAAGTTTTAGAGGGGCCCAGCTATTAATATTTTGGAAGAACATTGTGCTCTATTGTGGGCTCCATTCATTATTTCTTTCAGATGCCAAGCTCTGTCATCACCCCTCAGTAATGGCATTTATTACACTTGGGTAAACTCTGCATTGCTGACCTACCTTTTTTCCACTTGCTGCATTGTACTCATCCAGAAGGGCCTGAATCCGGGAGCCGTAGTCTGGGTCAATGTCGCTGAAGTTTTTCACCTGAGAAGTAACAGAAACAGAGAAGGATCAGGATTTCAAGGATCAGTCCAACCAAAGCAGTTAAAGCGGACCTTTACACTCAAAAATCTAATTCTACCAATGCCTCCCTCTATGTATGATGATTAATAATAACAGACTTGTCAGGTGTAAAATGCTGTGATTGTGAAATACTTGCACTTGCAGAGAATTCACTTCCTGCTATGAAAGGGCAGAATTACCTCAGTTTGCCAAAGCGATGCACACTGGGATTGCCAGAGCATTGCTGGGCAATCTCACCTCAGGGAAAGGCATTTTCCTCCCCTGAGATGATGTGCATGGTCACATGTCTGTCACATGTGCCAGAAATCCAGGAAGTAATAGGAGAGCTAGTACCTGCCCTTAGTAAACATGGCCACTGTCAGAAGGCTGGAGAAGAAAGGGAAATAAGGTATGCAAAGATTACAAAGCCTTTATCTATAATTATGTGTTTGTAGCTTGTCACTACTAAACATTTCTGGTGTGTTTGTTGTTATTTTAGAGATATGGGTAACGGTCCGCTTTAATTTCAATCTTCAGCAATCTAAATCACCTACAGTGTCTTGCATATCTTGGAGATTCCACAGGAGAGATTTCTGGGCTGAGTTCTCAAGTCTGCATACCAGCTGCGTCCATCCCTGTTGGGCTGTTATTTGCTTTATATTATTAATTTATGGGTATGAACACCGAGGAACACCACTCTTGGAGAAGGAAGAATGAGACCCCTAGGCTAGGTGGGTGGGAGCAGATATGGGAATTATGACAAGAGATCTTCCTACTGAAGCCTCCAAGAGGTGTAAGAAGGCAGCAATTGCTTCATCCTACCAGACTCCACTTATAACTAAATCACCCTTTATTCCTGATAGGTGGTTTGTCAGTTTGAGTTATTATAAAGCCACTACATGGGCAAATCTCAATAAAGCAATCAAGGCAGAATGCAAATAGTTGAAAGAGCTGAATGAAATTAGACTTCATGCTCCAGGGATTTGAAGTTGGGTGCAGGGCAGATCCATCGTTAGACACAGTGAGCATTTGCCTACAGGCAGGTTTTCATCATCATCTTCATCAGTAGAACTACAAATCACGTCATATAAGCTTATTTGCACATTGTCCTAATAAACTTGGGTAGTTTGGGGTCAGTAAACATGTTCAGTGTATTAGAGATAATTTAGCTGAGGGGGGGGGGGGGGGGGTTTGTTTTGTGTGCCACAAACTCCAATGATGGGCAATGGACCTGTGTATTAGACACGTGTGCTTCCCTTATTTCCGAATCAAATTCATATGAATTTTCAGAAATTTGGACATTCAGACACATTCGAGTTTCCGAATCCCAATGCATCCGAATGTGTCCGAATCCGAATTTGCGTTTCCAAATTTCGGATCCTGTCCGAATTTCGTTAAAAAAATAAACTGAATCGGGCATGTGACTTTTCTGGCCAATCAGATGTGTTTTTCGATTTAATGCATCCGAATGGGTCTGAATAAGAATTTTGGTTACGGCGACATGGGACTCATATACAGTATATACATATAATAATAAAGCTGAGGCTTAATGTTATATGTATATGGCTCCCAAACCCAAATGGCATTCAGGAGCTCCTGAATGCAATTCTGAAATTTGGATCCTAAATGCCATGCGGGTCTGGGAGATTCAGCTTTAGTATTAATATCTGTATATGGTTTTCTGTGGTATTCACAACGAATATTTGTAAACTCATCCGAAGCTAAATAAAATTCGGATTTCGTCCAAAATCCGCAAACCCAAACTAATTTGAATTTTGGATCCGAATCCTGAATCCCCAAATAACGAAATATCTGAACCGAACCAAATTTTTCCGCAGCTAACATGTCTACTGTTTATATATAATCTTTAATTCACCAATAAACATTAAATACAGGGCACTCTCATGACATTTGTTTTTTAAAGGGAGAGCAAATTGGTTGCTATTTTTTTTTAGAATGTCTCTCTTTAAGATCGTTGGGTAGATCATGTGACTTACCGCTCTCTGTTGAATGAAGAGCTGGGCATCCTGTAGGTGACCGGCGATATTCTCACACAGTCTCTGGCGCTCTTCTGGGCTCAGGGTTTTTCTGTAGAAATCTCTCACCTAAAACCAAACATGGGGGTCACTCATGACGATGTGTCATTCTGGTATTGGAATTAGTGTCGTCATATGTACAATAAAGGTGACGTTGCATATATTTTTCAGTTTCCCAATTTGTAATTGGGAACTTTCATTCGTTATATAAACATTGCACACAGTATTTGCTGCACAATGAGCCGGGGGTCTTCTGGCAGGGGGTGATCAGCATCTGATACACCATCTTTAATATGTGCAAAAGTCTATCAAATTCATATTTTTAGGGGGAAAAAATACTAAAAGGAATGTTAGTGCATGCAAATACATAATACTAAACAATAACATCACGATAACATAAATAATATTAATACAAATAATAATAATAATAATACAAATAATAATAATACAAATAATACAAATAATGATAATAATAATGATAATAATACTACAAATATGAATACATAATAATAATAATATAATATCCAAGGGTGCATCAGGTAAAGAGATACAAAACATGTCAAAAATGTTACACAAAAACTGTGCCCACCCATGAAATGGCAAAAAACTTGTCTTAATCTTTGGTCCACCTGCCGATATCCACTGTGCTGGTCCTGGGCTCCCACAAGGGACAGCGAGTCCAGGTTACCTGACAGTTGCAGGGGAGGGAGGGCATATGCACTTCCACTCCATACAAGCATGCAGAAGCCAACAGTTGGCTGAACATACAACAAAGCCATGCAGCAGCTGTGATCTTGGTATAACCACCTTAGTACTGGATGCTTATTTACGTACATCAGTACTGAAGTGGTTAAAATTCACAACATGGGTACTGAAATTGCAGCTCCTCTCCCTTTATTTTCTACGGTAGCAGAATCTTGGCAGCCTGCCAGCCTTCTAATATAAACAAATATCAGGTGCTGTAAGCTTTTATCAACCCATATCTGAGGATCAGTTGCTCCACAATATCTGCAGCTAGGGAGGTCAGTGAGGAGTTGTTGTAAAGCTCTTTTACTGCGTATTAGGAATATGTAAATACTTCAATGTCCATTGTCTGGACACAGGGTCACTGTAATGGCATATGAGTGTACTTTGAATATGTAAAAATTTGAATATCCATTGTCTTGGCACAGGTTCACTGTCATGACATATGAGTGTACGTTGAGTATGTAAATACTTTCATATCCATTGTCTGGACACAGGTTCACTGTAATGGCATATGAGTGTACGTTGAGTTTAGTTGGTTTTGGTATGCTAATAAAACATACATTTTCCTATTTATATTGGTAGAATGGCTCATTCTTTGTTAGGATTCTTCTGTACCCTCTTTTAGATACATCCACCATGGCACCCCAGTCTAAACACATACGCCATACAAACTTTCATATATTTTTATGTGGTTTTTTTATGATACTATTATCAATTTTTTTATGATCAATACAGTAGCATCCCAATTTTCTATGTAAGTTCAGATCATCTCAAAACTTGGTTCCCATCCATTACCTGGGTTACGTTATCCTCCACACAGCTGTCATGGCGGTCGACATCTCCAGAAGATAAGAAAGTGCTTTCCTTGTGCTTGGGCGACTCTCGTGGAGATGTAAAGCTGTTCGGATAATAGTTTGGCAAGTGGCCTATGGAAACAGTGAGATATTATAGGAGTTATATACATGCCAATGAATCACAAAAATGAAGACCTGTTGGTGCCTCTGCTCTCCCTTGGCTTGTCATAGCTGAACGGGACTGAATCAGGAACAAATCGGTCTGCTCCTTTGTGTGCTTCATGTATCAGTTATGATGATGATGATGCCATACTGCGGCCTGCGGGTGGACACAGACATTGCCATTGACTACCACTGACTTCTAATGATATAATGATGGACGGGCACAGATAATTCTGGGTACACACAGAAGACTGCTGCCCCAAAGGGGGAAGGCTGCATGTCTCCTCCCCAGCACCAACCTAGGCAACGGTCCTTGCCTGACTGCTGAACACATCACACATGTAGAAAAGTGGTCCAATATGGTGGGATCACCGGAACCTGCAAGCTCCTTTATGAAGGGTCGAGCCAAACAGTAATCATCACAAGTTTGTATTATTGTGTTTCACATCGGGCTTACTCTTAAAGTCCAAATAATTCTGGGTGTTTGGTTGACACTTCACCATAACCCCTAATTTATAAGACCAACTGCAACAAGCCTATGTGTCTGGTTGGGTTTGCAGTCTCTTGTCTCTGAGCTGCACCACGTCTCCCTCTCACTTTGTCTGAGATGTGAGATGGAGTCTACATTGAAAAAGATAGGAGAGAAGCTCAAACTCCTATTAATAATAGGCAATGTTTCACTAATAAAGCTGACTTGCTTCAGTGAGGCTGCTTATATAAAGCGGAACACCCCCAAAAGAAGGGGGGGGATCTTCAGAAAAGTCCAACTATACAAGAAGCGGTAAGAGCGCCGCACTGATAGTCAATATCTGAGTCCACAGTGATGTTTTATTAAATAATCAGTAGAAAAAATTCCAACACTTTTCCGGGGGTTCAGACACCCCACGCCCCTTCATCAGGGCCACAACACAAGAAATAAAAAATACAAAATGTTTATATATACAGTATATATGTAGCGCTCACCCCCCCATTTCCAACTGCCCCATTAGCATTAACCACCCTCTTCCTGTGCCCATGAATTGAGGTCCGCTCCAGTTGTGGAATGCTGGTTAAACAGTTTATTCACTTCTAATTAGGGAGAAAGGGTATAGGATCTATAGGATCTAGGTGCACCGGCCTCCTTAGCTCCAGACTTACAGGATTCTATTCTTCTATTCTATTCTACACCTTTATGAAAGAACACTGACCCCCACTCCGAAGTCCATGAAATCCTAGGCACTTCACACTGATCCTGGTTTTTCCATCTTTCAGGCATTCTCTTGGCACTAGGCCTCCCAGGAAGCCTCTCTTCCAGCCATTCAGCCAATGCCCACCCCCAGGCTTCTGGCTAACCTGGGGGCAGGCCGAACAGGACCCAACCTTAGTCCATGGCTGGTCCAGGCAAGCGAGAGAGCACATGGCAGCTCCCACCCATATATGTATACTTTGTCAGCAGGCACCACTGGCTACAAGAAGCCCAGTAACTGGCTGCTGCCCTGTACAGACATTACAGTGTCACCCATTGGCTGTCCCACAATGTGACAGAGTCTCACTCCACCCTAGGGGGTACAGACAAGGTTGGACACCTGGGATTAACCATGTGCTGGCTGCTACAAATTCAGCCAGGCTGCCTACAGCCCTGGCTATCACTAAATGTATAGTAAGCACTTCACAAAAGGTGATGGGTGCTACATATACTGTATATATATATATATATATATACACACACCATATATGCATGTTATATTCTATATTTCTATATATATTTATTTGTTGTAGCCCTGATGAAGGGAGGGTGTCTGGACCCCCAAAACACTTTTGGCTTCCTTCTGCTGATTATTTAATAAAACATCACTTTGTACTCTTCCACCATTAGCTAACTTCCTTTGCTCTCTGCCTCTTCTGACTGTTATCAGCTCTCTCTAAGGACTACAGATCACCCATGTTATGGAGATGAGGAAAAGGGAAATTGTTCTGTAGTCCTACCACACTTTCTGTTCCAAGGTGACAGTGTTGCACCTTCATTCAGTACAGTGAGTGTTGTCCCCCTAGGACAGCAAGTGGTATACTGGCGGGATCACCAGGTAAAAATAAAAAGGAAAAAAGACCCCAAGACATTTTTCTTTTCGGTTAGATACAATGTAAGTGTTAATACAGCCGTTTTGCTTCATGGCTCGGCATCTGTATAGCTTGTCCCATGGTTGCCAGGATGCAGAAGTTGATTGGTAGGCGAGAAGGGGTCTTGTTTTCAGCTGCAGTCACCCTTTATGGGGAGGAATGTGGCTAGGAGCGGGTGCAGATGTATGAGAAGCAGATGATATGATTGTGCACACATATAACACAGCATGTGACACTGAGGAATAGCCCTGTGCTGTGCGCTCTGAATACCAGGAGTCTTATGACTATTATACAATCTCTGAATAAAGGACATGAAGGAAAAATACCAGAGGGGGCCTGTGTTCAAATTCCATCTCTCAGGACAAATCTTACCAAAACAAGTTCCAAAACACTTAAAGGGTACCTCTCACCAAATAAAATACCTGTGTAAAAAGCTTATGATGGATGCTGCCATCCTCTAAAACCATGGATGCCTAAAAAAAAATGTTGGCGATCTAGAAAGGAATTGCTATGCCTGGCCTCATTCATCTAACCGCCAGGTACGTGTGCACAAATATATAGCTCTGCAATCATTTAATATTTATTAGATGCATTTTGTAAATGCAAACAATGCGAGTACCTGAATCTAAACTAGTATCAACCTCTTGCAGTCTTGGTACAGCAGGGCCAGAGTGTGAGAGGAAGCAGCAGCACAAGGAACCAATCAGTTCATGTGCTGATAAAAAGCAAGCTGATAGGTGGAGAGAGCAGAGTGACAGAGATGAGCTCATCCTTGTGCTACCACTCCTTTCAATGTCCAGTCACAGGCGGGGACTGGTTCAGAATGTCCTGGGCTCAGAGGAAGCTAATTGAATGTTGCTGGCTATCAAACTAAGCAGCAGCAAAAAAAAGAACTGCCAGGGAGCCGCTGTCACAGCAGAATGGACGAATGGTGAGGAGAGAGAGAGCCGGCGACTGTCAGATCCTGGATGAGCGGCTCTCTCTCTCATCACAGCTCGGCCATGCTGCTGTCACAGCGGCTCCCTCCTCCGCCCCGCCTGCCGGCTGCAACGCTTCACTTCTCCTCGGATCCACACTGCCTCAGTCCATACAGATGGGGGAGAGCATCGGGGATCCAGAGGAGGAGCTGCAGGCTGTGCCGACCTACTTCTCAGTGCCGTGCTGAGCTATGGCTGCCCCCCACACCTGCGCCCGAGGTGGGATCCTCAGTCGCCTCGCCCTCACTACGGCCCTGCACCCACAGATATAAGAAAAAACAATATTGTACGGTAGCGGTGCTCTTACTTGGCTGGGCGAACATGCACATTGGACCGTCCCTCTGGTAGTGACAGACATTGGCTGTCCGAGGACAGTTAACTGGGATGTGCAAATAATTGGGCCCCAAGCGGTACCTGTGCGTGTCCGGGTAGGAGAACAGACGGCCCTGCAAACCATAAAAAGACGTTGAATGATCAAACAAGTCAAGATGAAACAAAGAAAGTACGACAGGGTCTATTTATAAAATATTCGTAGACATCGTCCAGAGAAACTGCCATGTACATTCATTCAGTGTGAATGGGGAAAAAAATTACTGTTGTTAGTATATTTATTTCCAGGTTGAATGTAATATCAGGAAAATACCACAATATGGCCACTAGATGGAGCTTAGGAATGTAGGAAATACGTATATTTATTTTCTATGATCCTGGGCTCCATCTAGTGGCCATAATGTGGTATTTTCCTGATTCGCTTCAATCTTAGGAAGGAATTACATTCAACCTGGAAAGAAAATATACTAACAACATTCGTTTTTGCCCCCATTCACACAGAACAAATATACATGCAGTTTTACAGGAGGAATGACTCTGTAATTATCAATGCACTTCAAAGGGTAGGAGACAACTTATTTTTTGAGAAATTTGACTGTTATAGAAGTCTTGGAATGTCAGAGGGCTACATTCACCAAATGTCCTGCAATTAGAACTGCTTGTGATGCCCCATAGCACCTTTGTGTCATTTTTCACCTTGCATTTGACTCTTATGTGTTGCTATAAGGCTACATGTACAATTCTTCTTCAGTCATTTCGACAAACGAAACAGAAGCCTGTATAAAGGAACCGTGATCAGCTTAGTGTTAATGACTAACATGTGTGAATGTTTTATAGACCTCTCTGTTTATATTTGACAATAATATCCTACACGGATGCAGTCGTATGCGCTCATTCCACATATAAAACCTGCTTCCTGATAGACCCTTTTGGTAAATGTACCAACAAAGGAGTATTGTTATAGATGTTTAATAAGGGCAAAAATATCTGCCAGAAATCTTGTGAGCATAAGCAGGGGTTATGAAGATGAGGAGGAAGAGTTATGGAGAGGAGGAGGATGGGTTATGGAGATGAGGCATGGGGTTGTGGAGAATAGGAGGAGGGGTTTTAGAGATCAGGGGGAGTGGTTATGAAGATAAAGAGGAGGTGGGAGATGGGGAGAGGTATGTGTTCTTTGCGATCCACCAGAAATGAAGTAGGCAGGGCTGACACCATATACTTAGGAATTCAGAGCTGTGTTGTCATGTCAAAGAGGAAGTTAGGAGCTCACGGTCTTTCTGGCACATCAACAGTTATTGCTCTGTAATTGCAGTGTGTTCAAAAGGATAAAAAGGATAAACATTTCCATGTGTTCCAGAGATGTACTAAATATGTGTATATTTTGCCTTGACATAGGCTTTTTAAGTGACATTAAACCCTCAGATTTTTTAGCATAAACCAATACTGTAATGTGCGCCTTACTGTAATCCATGGTAGCTTCACTTCTCTTTGCTGCTCTTCCTTTTAAATCCTCATGTCTTCTCATGCTGGGGGAGAACTTCCCTTTGCAGCTGAGTGCCTCTTCCTGTAGTGCTGGCTCAGGTTGTGAACCTTCACACAGACACCATGTATCCATTCCAGAGAACGCAGTCTGCTGCAAAACAGAAGTTCTGCCCCGGATTGAGAACAGATACAGATTTAAAAGGAAGAGCAGCAAAGAGAAGGGAAACAACCATGGATTACAGTAAGGCGCACATTACAGTATTGGTTTATGTTAAAAAATCTGAAGGTTTAATGTCACTTTAATATTTTAATACCATTTGGATTGTAAGTTCTCCTCTACTGTCTTGTAACTGTACTGTATCCCTTTACTCCCTTTTATATTGTACAGCGCTCCGCAAACTGTTGGCAAATAAAAGTCCTGTATAATAATAATAATAATAATAATAATAATAAAAATAATAATAATAATAATAATAATGTCCTGTATAATAATAATGTCCTGTATAATAATAATAATAATAATAAAAGTAATAAT